CCTGAGTTGCTTTGGGATTTAGTTGTTTTTCCTGCAGCCCCATCGCAGAGTTGTATATTGTCACAGTGTACACATGTAACTCCATTCGAATAGAAGAGCATTGGGTCAATGACCTGTAGAAATCACACCTGATTTATTTACATATCATTGTAAACTACATGTTGTGTTTAACCACAAACCACCACTTCACTGTGACCATGCATAGATCCAGACAGCTTGTCAGTCTGAAAATCATTGGTTCAGACAATTCCAAGGTGCTGCCAAAATATCATATTTTTAAATAGTGAGAGGAACATTTGGCTCTCCACTTGAATCAGGACAATTAACCTAGTTCTAAAAAAAAACAGTGCTTTTCTAATAAATTGGTATTGAGAACAAAGAAACTAGTAAACGGGTAGCTACTGTTTGGAACTGAGAAAAGAGTAGTTTCCCAGGTAAATGCTGAAAAGCTATAATTGATGAATTGGAATAATGTTACCTTTGTCTGTTTTGTGGAAGCATTTTATTATCTACCATAACCATCTTGGAGATATAGATGATAACAGGAGCTGTTGAGGAACTATTGCAAGCTTGGAAATCTATAAAATAAAAAAAATCTATATTTACAACATGCATTTATTTATCTATAAATATTCCTACCACTTGATTTTATGACTGCTCCAGTCACATGGGTATCACAAGAATATTATTTTGAGATAAATGAATGGTTTTTGGTACCAGTGTTTTTCTAGAATCTAATCTAAGAGATGCACCACTTTATTTAGTTATTCAGACATATTGCATAAAATAGAAATTTTGACAAGGAATACACCAATTTTACTGAATGAATCGCTAGGCTAAGCCATTTATTTAGAGATGGCAGTATAGGAATGTACACTCTAACATGCAACCCATAAAACCTTTAGAAAAGAGGAAATCAAACATAAATCTCTGGCAAAATATATTCAAGTTCTTCTAATTACATAAACATGGTTTTCATCTTGGCTTGTTACGACATCCTCATAACATTAATGAAAACATACAGGGAGTATTAAGCACTTGGCTTTGAGATACGTTTTGGTAGCAGATTGGTCATTAATGTTGACATATTTCATTTACTTCAGTCAATACTTTCTCTCAAACAAGCCAGTGGATATAAAACTGCTACACAATCAAAACCCATTCTCTCTGCTGACAGTTAAATAGCAACATGGACATTAATTACATGATAAAAATGTTTATATTAGATTGATTGAAAGATAATCACCTGTCATTCATGTACTATATATTACATTGATTATATTTACATATTTGAGTGAGTGTACATTGTATATCTTATCAGCAGCAACTCAAAATCAACTGCCATCGCTACTATCCTCAAATCCTCTTTGAATTACTACTCTGACTTTTATTCTCAACATAATTCTTTTTCTAAATGAGTTCCCATTCTATATCATAATCTATCCTTCCCGTCATTTTAAACACTACAATCACTTCTCTATCTCTTATTCTCCTTATAATTACTTTCTGAATCAGTCCCCATCTCCCATCCTATATCATAATCTATCCTTCCCGTCATTTTAAACACTACAATCACTTCTCTATCTCTTATTCTCCTTATAATTACTTTCTGAATCAGTCCCCATCTCCCATCCTATATCGTAATCTATCCTTCCCGTCATTTTAAACACTACAATCACTTCTCTATCTCTTATTCTCCTCATAATTACTTTCTGAATCAGTTCCTGTCTCTCATCCTATATTGTAATTTATTCAACCATGTTCTGACTTCCCTAAAAAGTTGTGCTTGGCTGCTTCATTTCTTTGACGGGGTTCTATAATTTTGTTTATGGTTAGAAGCATGCACATGTCTTTCAAATTCAAGGTCAGATTTCAACCTCTGATGACAACATATGCATCATGAGTGAACAGAGTTGGGTTGGGCTGGGCTAGGGGTTGTGTATATTTATGGGGAGGGGGTTTATATTCAAACTACATTACTAAATCCTGATATAACACTGTTAGCAGATCTCAGTATGAATTAGATATACATGTACCTGATTTCAAAGATTTTGTTTGTTCTGGTAAGGTTTCAAAGCGCCTTCCATCACTACACATTAACTTTTCCACTCTTGCTTCACTTATCTCTAATGGACTGGGTAACTTGTCTACAACCATAGCTGATTTTTCCATGTTAAGATAAAATCACATTTATTCTATACAACACAACATGTCTATCTTGATTGATTAGAGTGAGTGCAGAAATAAGAACTGATCAGAAAAATCACAATCTTCTCTTGTCAATCACTCTTGCAATGTTCCTATAAAATATTGGTAGCAGTGTTTTGTTTCGACTTCGGCACTTTCAGTTTTAACAAACTGCTGTTCCTAGACACAACCATTTTCAAATTTTGTCAGATTTACAAAATATGAAAAATGTGAAATACCTTCTCTTATGTGAACTCCTGTACCTTCCCTTCTGAACTCCTATACCTTTCCAACTCATATACCTTCCGTTCTGTTCCCTTCCTGACTCCTAAACCTTTCCTTCTGTTCCCTTCCGACTTCTCGACCTTCCTTTCTGTTTTCTGTATGTCCCTTCTGTTCCCTTCCTGACTCCTGTACCTTCCCTTCTGACTCCTATACCTTCCCTTCTGACTTCTAAACCTTTCCTTTTGTTCCCTTCTGACTCCTATACCTTCCCTTCTGACTCCTATAATATCTTCCCTTCTGTTTCCTTCTGAACTCCTATACCTTTCCGAATCCTATACCTTCCTAACTCATATACCTTCCGTTCTGTTCTCTTTGGACTTCTCTACCTTCCCTTCTGTTTTCTGTACCTCCCTTCTGTTCCCTACCGACTCCTATACTTTCCCTTCTGACTCCTATACCTTCCCTTCTGTTTTCTGTACCTTCCGTTCTGTTCCCTACCGACTCCTATACTTTCCCTTCTGACTCCTATACTTTCCCTTCTGACTCCTATACCTTCCCTTCTGTTTTCTGTACCTTCCCTTCTGTTCCCTACCGACTCCTATACCTTCCCTCATGTCTCAATGCGTCTTTAATCAAAGACACAAAAGGATACAGAGTACAGCTGTAGAGAGAGGTAACCACTGACTAACTAATGCATGCAGATATACTTTAGGGTCTGTGTGACGAGAATCTCGAGCTGATATCTTCAAATTCAAGGATTTTACAATTTTTTCAATCTTCTCCTTATCCCTGAAACATTTTTGAGAAAAATAAGTTAATATTCAAGCATAGCTGAATTCATACTGTAATGAGTTGTATTATCTGCTGTTCTTAGGCTTTAAAATATGCAGTTAATTGAGCCATGGATTGAAATCAGTAGTTGAGTCATTCATGAGTTATGTGAATGAGAATTGCTTACCCATCAACTAATTTATTTTTATCAGACAACCTAGAATCATGTCATGTAATATTAATTT